TAAGACAACAAATTAACTTAAAACCCTATATGTAGCTGAAGACAGCTAATTCCAGCTAAAGCTATAAGTTTTCTTGTGTCTCTGCCTCCGTTTCCTTCAGGGAAGGAAGTGTCCTGACCCCTCCACCTACTTTATTTTCTTTCCAACTCTCTTCCCTCCTCCTCTTTGTCGTCGCTGAACAGGCAGGATGTGTGAGTGTTTGTCAGGGCGTTTAGAACAATGTCAAGGGCAGCAGAACACACAAATAGATACATTTACAAACACTGTGAGACTCACACAGGATGTGGTTAAACATGAAAACTGTTCAAAGAAATGTATATTTAATGTCTTGTATGGCCATTTTTCTTTTGGCTACTTTCTTCTTCAGGGGTCACCACAGTGAGTGAACTCGCATCAAAGATTTGYTAATTGTTTTACTCCAGATGCCCTCCCTGACAACCTGGACTTGAACCTGCAACCTCAGGATTACAACGCTGTGGCACTGACCACGGAGCAACTGCATCTATGAAATGTTGCAGCAAGCACTAAGCTTTCAGCTCTGTTTACTGCCATCTGTTTTTTGCTTGAGTAGAGATTGGTACAACTACACTTCTGATAACAAACGCTATAAGGAATATCACGGGTTCTTCTTATTTATTGAATCGAAATGAATCATTTATATACAACTTATTGTGAACAATCAAATTTTGTTGTGAGTTAAAACTTCAAAACAGGTATGCGTCTGCTCTAATTAATATTAATAATTAATATGACAACTCTAACAGAAACAGCAGAACTTCAGGTTTAAGTTCTTAATAAACCAGATGTTATACATTAAAATTGTATGGCAATGTTTAAGTTTAAGAGATTTTAAGAAAGGAGGAATGTTAGCCCTAACGTTTTCTTATGAATATGTGAGAAAACCAGAACGAACACTTGAGTCTCTCCGACACTTCAGCTGGAACTCCAGTACACTCGTCAAAACATTCAGCTTTACCTGGAGGTGTCTTGATCGTCAGGTTAAGTGTTTACTTTATACTGAATGACAGTGAACTAGGTTTTAATGAAATAGAAGTGAATTATTTAAACTAAAATAAAAATTAAGATATAAGATTCAAGCACAGTACCCATATATATATATATA